GAAAAATCATCTTGAATTTTTTATATCAAAATATTAAAATTCGTTTGTTATCACTAGTAGTTCTTTACAACAGCATGTATTATATCAAAAATATTACGTTTTTAATATACAAGGATTCAGAATAATAACTGTAAATACCGATTTCCACATTTCATAGTTCGATAGAAAAAGAAAAAAACCAAAGCATGCATGAAAAGTCTAGGCAGTTTATATACATTAAGGTGGTGATACTGATAAGCGATGAATGCAGATGCGAGTTAAAAGCAAGGCAAATGCATGACTGTATGACGCACGAAGGAGTCCAGATAAGACAGTGAGAATGGATGAATATGCAAATAAAAATATGAGGATAGATACAAAGAGTAGAAATATGGTCTCATTGAATAAAAAAATAACTATACATATATTTATGCGTTTAAAATTGTGTGTAAGTATGAGTGATCTGTACACGTGATAACATTCATCATTCGAAGGGCTAGTAATTTACTTCTAACACAACAGAATTATTAACAACAGTATGTGCGTTTATAAAATGAAATTCAATACTTTTCTTTATCTGATCTCTACCTTGTATTTTAATCGATAATCTTCAAATGCATTACACGCCTATATTGATGGAATTAAGAATGATAAGAATATGTATGATGAAAATAAATACTTTTTTATTGCACTTTTTTCTATTTGGTTGCAACATTTTTTTGTCGATAGCTAAAGAAAGAGGAGACGTCAATGTGTTTCTTTGTTGTTTTTATTCATTTAATATGAAGAATGCACTGAGGCAATCATTTTCAATTTACATTCATCTGAATAATCGTTGATCTTCAAAATTATCTAAGTATGTCCTATGATGAATTATTTCTCAGATAGAGAAACAGTTACTCAGTACGAAAATCATCTGTTTATGTTAGATTTTGTTTATGAGATTCGCCGTCACATTCTTGACAAAATGTTTCTATATAATGTTTAATGCAAGCAAAGCAAAATGAAAATAATAGTGTGTGTTGACTAGAATATAGATTTAGAATATATGATGAACACCAAATTTATACATTACCATTACGGTGTGTTTTAGATTGTAAATTTACAGATTTTCTAGATAAAACTACGTTAATAGTTTTTTACATGGCCATATATTCACTTCACAACGATTACTCTCTTCAATTCGTTATAAATTCATATCAATCTTTAACTATTAGATTGAATCGTGATCAAACGTTGACACGAATCATTACATTGAATGACGAGCAATGTTCTAAATTGACTTATCGTCTATGTGAAACAACCAACGAGCTATATGAACTTTTAATTGATATACTAGAGACATCAGTCTCAAGTATTCATGTTAAAGAAGATGAAAATCTAGAGATCTCGTTACCAATACGATTTGGTAGTAAAAATCGAATGAGATTATGGTCATTCAGAATTGAATTCTCTTGTTTTTCATCCAACGACAATGATCCCAAGGAAGAAGTATCACTCGATCCATTAGATTGGAATGATACACGATATTTGGGTCATCAAATTATGGATGATATGATGGATTATTTGCGTGATCTTCGTCAAAGACCAACTTGGCGTCCGATTCCACCAGAAGTAAAAGAAATCATTGCAACCAGTGCTCTTCCGTTACATAGTCAATCGCCTTGGGAAGTCTACGATGAAATTCGTTCAATTGCACTTCCCTACGTAGTGGGTAATATTCATCCTCATTATTGGGGTTATGTTCAAGGTTCTGGTTCACCAATTGGAGCGCTAGCAGAGTTCATTACAGGAACAATGAATACAATGTCTTGGGGTGGTCATCAAGCAAGTATTTACTTAGAACGTCAAGTTTTATCATGGCTTAAAGAATTAATGGGTTTTCCTACAGATGAGACAAGCTCAGGTGTCCTTGTCAGTGGTACGTCTGTAGCTACAATCATCGCTTTGGCAGTAGCTCGAAATAAATTTCATAATCGTACTATGAAGATTTATTGTTCAAATGAAGTACATAGTTGTCTAGCACGTGCTGTCGATCTTTTAGGTATTACTAGAACTAATTTAATAGTTATTCCAACAAATTCACAACGCCAAATTGATGTGGAGGTCTGACAAATCACATATATATATAGAGAGAGAAATCCTAAATTTCATTTATATATTTTAGGCTTTGAAAGCAAGCATAGATTCAAATTCTTGTGGCTTTATCGTTGGTACAGCAGGCACAGTTGGTACAGGTGCCATTGATGATTTGGAAGGTTTAGCTGATCTGTGTGCTAGTCATCCAGAGAATCTTTGGTTTCATGTAGATGGTGCTATTGGTGCAGTCGCTCGTTGTTCCACACGCCTTCGACCATTGTTCACCGGCTTGGAACGAGCCGATTCATTGGCATTCGATCTACATAAATGGCTTTTTGTTCCATATGAATGTGGTTGTATTCTTATACGCGATGGTCAATTGCATCGATCGACATTTGCACAGCCACCAGCATCGTATTTAACATTGTTAGATGGTGGCATAACGCCTAGCCACGGCGAACTTTATTTTAGTGATTATGGTCTTGAACTTTCACGAAATACAAAAGCAATAAAAGTCTGGATGACATTGAAAACGTACGGAATCGAACGATTCGGTCGTATTATGGAACAAAATGTTGATCAAGCGCTGTATTTTGCTCGTTTAATTGAACAAAATTCGAATGAACTCGAATTAATGGCGAAAACAACATTAAATATTGTTTGCTTTCGATATATCGTCCATCGTTCGAACAGTATCGATCAGCAACCTATGCTGAACGAATTAAATAAACGATTACTCGTATTAATACAAGAACGGGGTATAGCAGTAGTTTCACCATTTGTTATCGGTACAAATACGTTTGCATTAAGAATGTGTATTACAAATCATCGAACAAAATTATCCGATATGGATACATTTTTGCAACGGGTCATTAAATTGGCTTGTGAACTAGTCAATACTTCTGAATTTATAATGCTAAACAAGATTTAATTTTTTTTCAGTACTAACACTTATTATTTATCTAAAATGATTTGTTAGAATTGAATTAAATAAAAATATGGTAGAAAGAAATCGATAATATAATAGAATAATTAATCATACGAAGAGAAAGATAAAGAGTTCTCATAATGGCATGTTCAATAATAAATTAACTATAAGGGATACTATGTCTTAGATTGAATAGTTAATAAACGACTCCTTTTTTTTTGTTCACTTATCATATTCAAAAATAGCAAACTTAGATAATATGATAATCGCTAATGTATCTATCTTGGAATCAAACTTATTCATTTCTCTTCCAGTTCGATTTTGGCTTTTTTTATATTCTGATATTTTATCAATTTTATGTTCTTTATTTGTCTTATATCATTTATTATTTAATCGAACACTTTGTTAATCATTAATTATTATTTAAATGGTATGTGAAAAACTACATCAAATCTATCTCGTTTTTGGGCATTCATAGATTTCGGATTATTTGTAACACAATTGATAATTTTCGCTTGGGCTAGAATTAAAAGATATATACTTATATTTCATAATCAATTTTTAAGAATAAAAACAACACGATTTCTTATTCATTATTGTTCTTTAATAATACTTCCGTCTTATTGTATTATATTTCATCCATTTTGTAAATATATAGATTATCAATCAATGATTAATAGTGTTGTTTTTCCTTGTTTATATTCAAATTCAATATTTGCTCAATTAGAACTTCTATGTCATTAAATAATTCCCACATGTATTATTATAATTATATGTAGTATTAGTCTTCTTTTACGTGTTTTATATCAAAAAATTCATTTACATCAACGAGTTCTATGGCGAAAACAACGAAAATTAACAATTTCCATAGGTATTTTTTTAAGTATGTTATCAAATTGGATTAAATCTACGTACAATGAGAAACGCACAGTCTTATGCTTATTTTTATAGTTATTATTTATCATTTATTTGTTGTGAATCATTACCAAAACTTAAAAAAATTCAAAACATTTTCTATTGGCTAAAACAACATCGAATAATTCATCGTGAATTGATTTAAATCAGACAGAATCTAATAAATGCATCAGTTCATTTCGTTTTATATTATAGATTTTATTTTATTTTTGTGATTGTAAAATTCTTTTAGAAATTTATCGATTAGAAAATGTTATATAGAAATGATTTTTCAATGTTAATTTATATATGAAATATTTAATATAGTTCTGCACTGTCTAAAGTATCACCATTAGATCCACCAGTAACCAATATTCGTCCATCATCTAATAAAGATGCTGCGTGTGAATATCGTGCATTGTTCATATTACTAATAATTGTCCAATTCTTTGTTAATGGATCGTATAACTCAGTACTATTTAAATAACCAACACCCAATCCACCAATAACTAATACTTTTCCAGATGATAATACACACGCTGTGTGCATATATCGTGCATAGTTCATACTATTCACAAATGTCCAGATTCCTGTCGATGTATTATATAATTCAACAGTACTTCCTTCAACAACAGTATCCGATTCACCTGCTACTAAAACATTACCATCTTTTAATACGGAGGCTGTGTGATAATATCGTTTATGATTCATAGGTCCACTAATTGTCCAAATTCCTGTTAATGGATCATATAATTCAGTACTATTTAAAAAACCATTAGTCATTCCACCAGTAACTAATACTTTTCCATTTAATAATAAAGAAGCTGTATGTCCTAATCGTCCATGATTCATATTACCAGTAGTTGTCCAAGTTCCTTTCGATGGATCATACAATTCAGAACTATTTAGCTGACCAACGCCTAATCCACCAGACACTAATACATTTCCATTTGTCAAAAATAATGCTGTATGAAGATATCGACCATCGTTCATACTTCCAGTATATGTCCAAGTTCCCGTTGATGGATCAAATAATTCAGCACTTTTTAAAGAACGACCATTATCATCTCCACC